CAAACCAAATCAGAAGCTGAGAGGAGGGGAACCTGGCTGGTGCCTGCAAGGAGGCTGGCCTTCTAGGGCGAAGCAGAACCTGGCGGGGGAAGGGAGACCTCCCAGAACTTCATGTCACCTTTGGCTCCTGACGGCCCTTCTCAGGAAGGCAGTTGTCTTGCCGAATGCTAGAACCACGGCTCGCATTACGCACCAACGGGTTTTTGTCTCTGGAAGGCTCATCGGCGTGATCCTGGAACATAACGCCATTTCCCCTCTCCTCTGCCCACCTGCATGCCAAAAAGCCCTATTCTCCTCCACGTCTAATCCCTCTGCTACTTCCTTTTCATATGGCCAGAGGGTTTAAAAAAATATTGCTGGGCAGATAATAAACACTTACAGACCCAATTAAATAAGACACATTAATTATCATTAACAGTTTGTGTTGCAGTTTATAGTCTGCATTAGGTTGCACTGCCTGAGCAACATGAAATTTATAATGAGGAAGCTGACTTAATTTGGGAGGAAATGATATAAACTGACTGGTAAGTGACCTAGCAACCTCCTGAAACCCCAACCCAGAGCCCTGCAGGAGAAAGGGCTCTGTGGCAGGAGGTGCTGATGGCCGTGTCCTCAGTACTGACCTGCACATCCTTCTCTGTCTGTCCTGCGCTCCTGACTGCCCTCTGCCCTCACGACCTATCAGCTGCATCTGGATGGAGGAGAAGCTGGGTCTGGGGTGCGGCTGGTGACACGCCGCAGCGGTACCTCCCGGCTGGGAAAAGGAAAGGGTGTAAGAGGAGAGCACAGCAGTAAGACTGCAGCCTGCACCAGGCAGGCTCTGGGACGTCCAAAGCTGCAGGAGGTGGGGCCGGAAACACTTCGGGGTTAAACTGCTGGTGTCCTTGGGGCTGATTCTTCGCAGCACAGCTCTGTGGGCAAAGCAAAGCCCTGAAGGTTGAATGAAGAGTTACTCAAGAGCATGGAACCTACAGAATCTAAAACGGACTGAAATCAATAGCGCTTCCCCTTGAAAACCTATAATTAGTTTCCTGAAATCGCTGCTTTGCCTCAGATTTTGGGAAGCTATTGCCAGTAGCCCCTCTCCTGCAGGACACTGCTGGCCTCCCTCCTTCCACCTGCACACACCCAGAGCAGCGGTGAGAGCCCAGGCTGACTGTGCGTGGTGAGAGCTCGCGGCCTACATGGCCGACGCACGTGTGGGAGCACTGGGAGGCTGGCATTAGATGTGAGGCTGGGAAAAAATGGGCGAACTCTGACTAGCTTCCCACGTATCAGGGGTAAACGAGCCATGCCCTGAGCTTGCGCAGAACAAGGGCAGGCCTCTCTGAGATTAGAGCAGAGGGCAAATCTATCCAGGGAGAAGTCGGCCTATTAAATGACCAGGCCTCGCACCCCCTTGGGATCACCCTGCCCCCCTTTAGTCCCTTGAGAACCTCTACGCCTGGTCCCAGGAATACGGTCCAGTCTACTCTCTTGGGCCCAAACCTAGAAAAAAGCTAAACCCATTTTCCTTGCCTTCTTCACATGAGCCAGTCCAGAGAGCTAAACAGGGCCGCAGTTCCGGTGGAAGGCATAGAGACATGGAAAACAACTGTGGATACCAGAGACAGTATGACGGGAGGGCAGAAATGGGGGGGAGGGGAGAGGGAAGGAACCAAAAGTAAAAAAAATGCAACAGACCAAAAAAAGTAAAATGATCTGCTTATGACAATGTGTATGGTAACTTCTTTGCCTGATTTAACTGGGAAGGCTAATTTTTAATGTTGTAAAGATAGACAGTGATTGAACGTAAACAATAAAAAATAATAATAAAAAGGAGCTTGAGGGCCTGTCGCATAGCCTAGAGGTTCAAGGAGTTGGATCCTGCATGGACGACTGAGGTTGGAATCCCAGCTTGAAAAACACACTGGGCACACACATGCATGTGCGCTCAGAACCTTGACAGGATGGAGAAAAGGAGAAGATACTGTGGCATGGCCGCACTCCTCCGAGGGGCACTCTCTCTGCCTCTTTCTACCTCTCTCTTGAGAACACACATGCCCTCTGGCAATTAAGACAAAGGTGATCAAGGAAAATTTAATAAAGGGACAATCCACAAACATTTGGGAAAGGGTGGGAACAAGAAACTGCTGGAACGCAGTAAGAGGAGTGTCTGCGGAACAGAGCACCTAACGGGACGGGGCTTCCCAGGGGACAAGGTCACTTCCCAGCCACGACCTGACACAGACAGGATGGGGAGCTGGCATTCCCAGTTCACTCTTCTGCTCTTCGATCTCCAGTACCTTCTGCTGGTCAAACCAAATCAGAAGCTGAGAGGAGGGGAACCTGGCTGGTGCCTGCAAGGAGGCTGGCCTTCTAGGGCGAAGCAGAACCTGGCGGGGGAAGGGAGACCTCCCAGAACTTCATGTCACCTTTGGCTCCTGACGGCCCTTCTCAGGAAGGCAGTTGTCTTGCCGAATGCTAGAACCACGGCTCGCATTACGCACCAACGGGTTTTTGTCTCTGGAAGGCTCATCGGCGTGATCCTGGAACATAACGCCATTTCCCCTCTCCTCTGCCCACCTGCATGCCAAAAAGCCCTATTCTCCTCCACGTCTAATCCCTCTGCTACTTCCTTTTCATATGGCCAGAGGGTTTAAAAAAATATTGCTGGGCAGATAATAAACACTTACAGACCCAATTAAATAAGACACATTAATTATCATTAACAGTTTGTGTTGCAGTTTATAGTCTGCATTAGGTTGCACTGCCTGAGCAACATGAAATTTATAATGAGGAAGCTGACTTAATTTGGGAGGAAATGATATAAACTGACTGGTAAGTGACCTAGCAACCTCCTGAAACCCCAACCCAGAGCCCTGCAGGAGAAAGGGCTCTGTGGCAGGAGGTGCTGATGGCCGTGTCCTCAGTACTGACCTGCACATCCTTCTCTGTCTGTCCTGCGCTCCTGACTGCCCTCTGCCCTCACGACCTATCAGCTGCATCTGGATGGAGGAGAAGCTGGGTCTGGGGTGCGGCTGGTGACACGCCGCAGCGGTACCTCCCGGCTGGGAAAAGGAAAGGGTGTAAGAGGAGAGCACAGCAGTAAGACTGCAGCCTGCACCAGGCAGGCTCTGGGACGTCCAAAGCTGCAGGAGGTGGGGCCGGAAACACTTCGGGGTTAAACTGCTGGTGTCCTTGGGGCTGATTCTTCGCAGCACAGCTCTGTGGGCAAAGCAAAGCCCTGAAGGTTGAATGAAGAGTTACTCAAGAGCATGGAACCTACAGAATCTAAAACGGACTGAAATCAATAGCGCTTCCCCTTGAAAACCTATAATTAGTTTCCTGAAATCGCTGCTTTGCCTCAGATTTTGGGAAGCTATTGCCAGTAGCCCCTCTCCTGCAGGACACTGCTGGCCTCCCTCCTTCCACCTGCACACACCCAGAGCAGCGGTGAGAGCCCAGGCTGACTGTGCGTGGTGAGAGCTCGCGGCCTACATGGCCGACGCACGTGTGGGAGCACTGGGAGGCTGGCATTAGATGTGAGGCTGGGAAAAAATGGGCGAACTCTGACTAGCTTCCCACGTATCAGGGGTAAACGAGCCATGCCCTGAGCTTGCGCAGAACAAGGGCAGGCCTCTCTGAGATTAGAGCAGAGGGCAAATCTATCCAGGGAGAAGTCGGCCTATTAAATGACCAGGCCTCGCACCCCCTTGGGATCACCCTGCCCCCCTTTAGTCCCTTGAGAACCTCTACGCCTGGTCCCAGGAATACGGTCCAGTCTACTCTCTTGGGCCCAAACCTAGAAAAAAGCTAAACCCATTTTCCTTGCCTTCTTCACATGAGCCAGTCCAGAGAGCTAAACAGGGCCGCAGTTCCGGAGTACAACCCCGCAAGACGAGACAGGGACAGTGCACAGTGCCCCTCTTGTTCACGTCCATGCTGCTTGCCGTGGGCTTTCGTGCAGCTACCTTGTGCTGTTCTCTTTCTGGAGGTCACAGGTCCCCAAATCTGAGACTTTTACTATCGTCGGTGAAAGCACATGGTTGGGAGCTGGTGACGACATCGACCTCCCTGTGCCCACTCCAGGGGTGCATGCCACCACGACGCTGCTCTGTGCAGGACACAGGACAGCCTGGGCTCCATTCCCAGTCCAGCATTCAGGCCCAGCGTGGCCAGGCGTGGCGGCCCACACCCGTGATCACAGCATCTCGGGGTGCGGAGGCTGGAGGACCGTGAGCGTGAGGCTGGTCTAGCAGCACAGGGGGACCTTGTCTAAGAGATCCGGGCACGCAGTGTGTACCGCGGTCCCAGCTGGGGCTGGGCAGGACTTCAGCACAGCGAGACTCACGGCGACATCCACTTCTCCACCTGATTTCAGCTGGTTCTCCAGCCGCTGAAACTCTTTTTACTGCCTAATAAGTGATTTGGAAGGCTTACGCTTGGTACTGACCACGGGGGTGACACTGGTGCTTGCGTTTTGGTCACAAACACAACCGAAGCATCTGCCTTGGCTCCATGGGACTTCCCAGGACAGCCCACTTTCCATCCTTTCCACCACCTGGAAGGGGGTCACTCACACACCGCACACGTCACCCGCCACCTGGAAGGGGGTCACTCACACACCGCACACGTCACATGCAGTTACTGATGAACTAGGCAGCCTTGGGGGGGGGTTCCCCAAACTACGTGAAGGGACATGGCACGAATTTCTTGATATGATACCAAAAACCATACAGACTAGAGAAAACAGGTGCATGAATGTTTTTTAAAAACATGAATAATATTTCGTATTTCAGCCACAAGACTAATAATTTAGCAATATTTCAGCAGTGACTTGAACAAAGCAGACCAGGGTCTTGATAGACTTGTCTCCCTGTGCCCCTGACCGAGCAGCCCGCCCACTCCCTCAGTAAGAGCAGGCGTGGAGACCACTCACAGTGAACTGGATCTGGCAGCCCCCCGGACCCAGCATCCCGCCCGCCCCCTCAGTAAGAGCAGGCGTGGAGACCACTCACAGTGAACTGGATCTGGCAGCCGCCCATGATGTAATCCAGGAAGGAGTGCATCTTATGGATCTGCGGGGCAGGAGAGGAGACTGGGTTAGTGACAGGAGGCCTGTGTCCTTACAGACCCAAGGGCTAAACTTTGGGATAGGCCGCCAAGCTGGAGGAAGGAGCAGAAAGAGATCTTGGGGGTAAAAATGGGTCAGTTGATCTTGTTCAGTTCGGGAGAGAAAGGGCTTCTCATATGGAAGGGCTGTGATGGCTGCAAAGCCCACTCCTACCCCCCTCTCTGCTAGTGTAGACGGGATTCAATTTGCTTCTGCCTCTGGGGTGAGGCTAAAACTGTATGTTCAAGGGTCACTGCTGTTTTGAGATGAGTAATGGCTCATACTCAATTTCAGTTTTGCTTCCCTGTGTCTAAGTCCCAGTCCTGTAACGGTCTCACTACACAGGTAACCAAGACCAGCAGCTTCGAGACTACGACTGCCCGAGGGAGGCTCTCCTGACAGTGCTGAGCCCCCCTCCGTGGCTGAGCCTGGGCCGCGAACAGCCATGACCTGAGGGAGGCTTTCCTGACAGTGCTGAGCCCCCCTCCGTGGCTGAGCCTGGGCCGCGAACAGCCATGGTGACGTTTAGTGAGCACTCTATATGTGCCAGATGTATGAAGCCTTTTCTCACCTGCTCCTAGAACAACCCTATGAATGCGGTACTGTGTGATTACTGTGCTCGTTTTACAGATGGGGAGACGGAGGCTAAGATTCTGCAGTGAAGAAATGACGGGGTCGGGGCTCGATAATCGAAGTCCGGGCTCGTGACCTCTGACTGCATCCACTCTGGGCCGGAAGTCCCCGCTCGCTGCCTCCTCCAAGGTACCGCCGTGTGCCCTGTGTGCTAGATTTCTGCTTCTTTATGATTCCATTCACTGCCAGTGATAGTCATTTATTCATTTATTGAACAAGATTTTTTTTCCATAAAGAAATAGTGAGAAACGGGGGGGTGGGGGTGGGGGTGAGATACCACCGGCAGGGGCACGACCACATCAGTGTCTTCTCCGTTCTCTTCTCGGGATTCGGGCATGCGTGCATATTCGCCTGCTGTGGCTTTCTAGCCAATGGGTCCAGGAATTAACTGACTGGCGTGCGGGAATCCGGCGCCTTAGCCACCACACAGCCTGCTGGCCCCGTCCAAGTGTTTGCTGAGTGCCCCCTATGCATCCATGCAGGGGTAGGGCTGGGAGGGACATCCGTGGACCTGTAGTCGTGAAGCTGGCGGTCTAGATCCTCTACCTGGACAGCCAGTAGCTGTGGTTTTTGACCCTGACCTCTCAGATTCCATGTAATTCTCGGGGAACCTTCTCCATGGCGGACGTTCGAGTCCCGTGTTGGCCTCAGCACCACCCTCAGGCTGCTCACTCGGCCCTCTGACCGGCGCCTGCTCCTGGCCTCCTATGGCCACGCTTTACGTGCGGGCTGGGCTTCCTTACTGCTGTGTCCATGCATCAAGGACATGCCTTGGAAGTGAGTGACATCAGGGTGGCCTCTGAGCATGAACCAGAAAGCAGCAGATGCACGCACGGTCACCTCCAGGGCACAGGAAACCTCTGGGTTTAGGCCTCTGTTGATAGCTACCCCATCGCTCTGGATGCAGGGGGAGTTGCTGACTGGTTTGGAAATACCCAGGGATGATTCGTGCGGGTGGAGGAAGACGGCAGGCATGGAGACAACCGCCTTTATACAGAGAGCTTATGGTCAACGACTTCCCGAAGGGCAGGCTGTGCCACACTGCAGAGGGCCACATGGGAAGCAAAGGGGACGTGAGGGGGGAGTGAGGGGACGAGGTGGGAAAAGCCTTTATGTGTTCTCCCAGGGAAGAAGGGTGAGGCAGGCTAAGCAGCTAGGCGGGCTTAGGGTTGGGTGGTTCGAATCATTCCAGCAGCTCTGGGCTCCAGGAGTGGTCTCTGCTCCTCTGAGACCTGCCCAAGCAGAGGAGGCACTGGCTCGATGTGGGAGTTTGGTAAAGGAGGGAGCTGGGGACTCCAGGAGGGTTTGCATATCGAAGGCAAGCAAGAAGGCAAGGTGTTCACTATCACCAGGAATTACCTAAGCCTGGGAGTGGTAGTCTTCCCCAGGTCTACAAGGCGCCACATGTCAACGCATCAAGAAATATAGAAAATAGGGACCAGCAGTTAGTGTAATGGCTATGTCGCTGGACTCCCATGTAGTCGACCGCAGTTCAAGTCCCGGACCCGGTGGTTTAAACTCACGCCGGGCGCATGTGCATGCGTGCCCAAGATCCTGAGAGGAGAATGGAGGAGAAGGGATTGCGGCGTGACCATCCCCCCTGGGGGGTGATTTCCTGCTTTCTGTCTCTCTGTCTCTCTCTGTCTGTCTGGTGAGCGCACACGCCCTATAGCAAAAATCTCTCTCTCTCAAAAAAAAAAAAAGGAGAAGGGATTGCGGCGTGACCATCCCCCCTGGGGGGTGATTTCCTGCTTTCTGTCTCTCTGTCTCTCTCTGTCTGTCTGGTGAGCGCACACGCCCTATAGCAAAAATCTCTCTCTCTAAAAAAAAAAAAAAAAAAGAAATATAGAAAATAAAAGCCACAGTTAATGCAAAGGCCTCGGAGGGCCAATCATAACACAGAGTCCCAGAGTCCCAGGGATGGGCCAGGGAGTGGGCATGTGCGTGCATCAGGCCAGTCTTCTCTAGTGACCCTGTGACGTTTGGCAGCCATGGAGACCGGTCTGTGGGAAGAGACCTCCCAGTGCATTCTGGGAAGGGGACCTCCCAGAATGAAAAATAGGATTAAAGTATAAATTTCTTTTGGTGCGAAAATATTTCAAAATATATTCCTAACACACTTTTTGTTTGTTTTTTAATTTGCCGGGGAGTACATGCAATTGCCAGACAAAGACAGACGAGGGAGGAGAGAGCCTTCTCCGTGGGACACAGTCTCTTTGCCTCCGTTTCTCTCTGCTTTGGGGGTTTCAGACACATGTGCGCACACACACACAAGCCTCAGTGTCCAGGACTCAGATCACATGGTTTGGCCCTGTGGGATCCGATGCTTCAACATTAGCCAACAGGCTGGCCCCACAGTAAACATTTTCTGTGGCTTTTTGAAGACCCCTTGTATTGATGCACATAAAATCTGGATGGTGTGTCAGTCTTCCATGGTAGAGTCAGACAGGTAAGGATTATAAATCTCAGTTCTGAAACTTGCCACTTAGGTGACTCTGAGTTAGTGACATTACTTCATTTGAAAGTAGAAATTTCAGGCTTGTAGCAAGAGTTAAAGGGGATTTAGTGTAGTTACTCTTACACAGTAAGCGCTCAACTAGGACAGAACTACTCTCGGGTGTGACTGAGAGGCGTGCTTAGCATGTGGGCTTCTCTGCAAACGGGGACTCCTTTGGAAGGGCCTTCTACGCCCTTAATCTTCTCCGATCGCCTTTCCGGCACAAGGGGAGCTCTACGTGCCAAGCGCTGAGCACTGTACAGCACAGGACAGGGCTCCTACAAATGCCAGCTTTCCACTTGAAATCATCCAGGCACTGCCCTGGGTGAAGAGACTGGTGTGTGAGCAGGGAGTTCTCGTTTTTGAGGGGGCAGGACTGTTGAAGAGAGGATGACAGCGTTGGCTACTGCAGCTCCAAGACGGCCCTCGCTCACTTTTGCATTCCACGTCCATGAATACACTGCTTTTCTGATTTGTGCTTTAAGAAAGAGCACGTATCCTGACCCCTCTGGCCACACAGCCTGACCTCTTCTTTGCAAAGTGCCTCGCCCCACACTCCTGGTGGGAAGGACTGCACACATACCTTGCACAGATTCAAAATCACAACGCCCGAGTTCTTGTAATTCTTCTTCTTGGCTTTGTACTTGGGGTTGATGCACTCCCACTGCACCTGCAGAAGAAGGCCACAGCATGAGATCTCGTTCCGGAAGAAGCTCCTCTAGTGAGGTCAAGCCTCCAGGTGCTTCTACCGGAGCCCAGACGGGAAGGCCGGCCAATGGTCCCTAGTTGGTACCCCTTGCTCTAGGGGAGAGGTAGGGGCGCAGAAGAGAGGGTCTCTGACATGACAGTCTGGTGTGAATCCCACCTCCTCCACCCCTTAGGTATGTGAGCTTTGGCAAGACTAATTCTCCATGCCTTCAACCCCTCCTCTCTCGCACTGACCTCAGCACACCTATCTGACAGGATTACCATGAGAAATAATTCTTGTAATGATTTAGAGTAGTTCCTGGCAGATCTAAATGAATATGATTAACAGGGTCAGATCAAACAGCAGAAAAAGAAAAGATCCAAAAATGCCGTTGAGTGATGTCCAAGTACCCAGAAACTGAATTAAAGGGAAGGAAAATGGAGAATTTCGAATGCTAGTTAAAGGATGTTAGTGAGGCAATGATGAGTTTATACAGAATTTACTGAGAACTGAAATAATGAACTGATCCATTTTGAAACAATGGCACATCTCCTCTGTGAGGAACGGGCCGGAGCTGCAGGCCGGGAGCTGGCTGGAGCTAACGCTAGCTAGAATAGGTCTGTACTTCCAGCTTAAGGAAAATTTCATGGGACAAAATCAATTGCCAGTCAAACATCCAAACCAGTGAACATCACTCCCACCCTTCTGTGGGAGCGGGGTTCTTGAATTTCCACTCATGAGGCAAGATTTCACTCTCTGACAATAAGAAGTGTCTGAAAATGAAGTGGTTTCTGAGGCAGAAATGCAGGGGTGGATGGATATGTCAGGGTCCAGTGACCCATTCCTCTCAGCGCCTCCCACAGCGATGTCAAGCTTAGTGGAGTCAGCCTTGCATTGCCAAGGAGGCCTGAGAGGGGCCTGTGCATGGGGCTGGCCCGAGAGGGGTCCATGCACAGGCTGGCCCGAGAGGGGTCCATGCACAGGCTGGCCTGAGAGGGGCCCATGCACCGGGCTGGCCCGAGAGGGGCCTGTGCACCGGGCTGGCCCGAGAGGGGCCTGTGCACTGGGCTGGCCTGAGAGGAGCCCATGCACTGGGGCTGGCCTTCTTTTTCTTTTGGAGGTGTTTTCACCACCACATACAGCCATGCTGGTCTCCTGGAGGAGGAAAAGAACACAGGACAAACATCCTGGCCGTGCCCTTGCGTGAGGTGCAAGCACGTGAGTGACTTCAGTCGGAACTGCTACCATCTGGAGCAGGGAGGAGCTGTCCCAGGTGAACTCGGGTGAAGCTGCCAAATCAGAAAATGGTAAATAAGTAATGGCTGCTGCTTTCTGCCGGGAAATCCTGGAGTGATTTGTCACTCAGCAATAGATGACTGACTCAGTCGTTTCTCCTCACCGGGTGGGTTCCGGCAGGGACTGGGCAACCACGCAATCCTAAAAGGATCAGAATGGAGGAATCTTGGGACAAGCCAATGGCATAACGGTCATGTCATTGGACTCCCTTGTACTCGGCCATGGATCGAGTCCTGGATCCGGTGACTTAAAACTCATGCTGGGTGTGTGTGTGCATGTGTGTGTGCGTGTGTGTGTGTGTGTGTGTGTGCATGTTCCCTGCCTGCAGCTCCGGCCCGTTCCTCACAGAGGCTCTTCTGGAGTTGTGCCGTTGTTTTAAGATGGATCAGTCCGTTATTTTAGTTCTTAGTAAACTCTCTATAAACACTCATTGCCTCACTAACATCCTTTAACTAGGAGAAGGGATTGCACTGTGGCCATCCCCCTTGGAGGAGATCTCTTATCTTCTGTCTCTCTATCTCTCTGATGAGTGCACGTGCCCTATAGCAAAAATCTCTAAAAAAAAATTAGAGGACTCGCTAAGACTCCTTCCAAACCTGGGATTCTTGGAAGGAAGGAAGGAGGAAAGGAGGGAAAAAAGGAAAAAGGAAGATGAAGGGAAATAAGAAAAGGGTCAAAATAAAATCTTAAATCAGGAGCTCTCTGGCCTTTTCTTAGGCCTAATCTGTCCACCACGATAATAATTCTTTCTTTCTCTCCCTTAGATGTTATTTTCATTCACTCTCCAGGAGGGTAGTGCTGACAAGCAAGAATTCTAGAATATCTTCAAGCAGATTTAGCATTTCCAGACAAACTCCCTTTCAAACCCATCAAAATTGAAACTTCCTCAAATATTACAGAATAAATGATTAGGCTAGGGATTTACCGAACAAGTGGGAGGAAAAAATTCCAACACTAGCAGTGCCAATTCCTTTGACATTTTCAAAAATTAACTTATTATCTCAATTTCTTCAACCAAGCAAAACATATCAGATGAAACCTCGACTAAGGGAAGGATTCTGAGTCCTTTCAGGGTGAGAATGATCATCCATGAAGTCTCCTCACTTCCCTCCCAGGCTGGGCTGGGCCGCTTGTCAGCCAGGGTGACAGGCGCGCGGAGTCAGGACTTAGAGGTACCGGGCCTGCGTGCCTGCTGGGAGTGCCGGGGTCGATGGACATTATCCAAATATACGCGCTTTCATGTCTCCATGAGCTGTGTGCTTCATTTCCACAACCCGGTGACCACGCTCACAGAAGAGGCTCAGAACAGGGGAGAGACGGCCCAGTCGTGCAGGCGGTGACAGGGAGCTGAGATTTACATCCACGTCAGTCACACATCAAAGTCGGCCTGTTAATCACAGCTCCTCCCTCTAAGGGGGCCTTAAAGGGCCTCTCTTGCTTGTTTTCACAAAACTTCCCCTTGGTCACCTCCAAGTAAGGAGGCGTATAAAAGCCACTCAAGAATGAATCACAGTTAACCTTGTACCTTCAGCCGTGACTCTCTGAAGTGCAGGTACCTCCTGACGGGACAGGGAGGCTGGAAGGCAGGCCCTCGTCCCCAGTGCCGCGCACCGAGGCTCCTAACTCTGTACCCACTCTCCCTAGGTTTACTCACCACTCGGTTGGCTTTTCATGTCCTCTTTTGGCTCATGGCTCCTGAAATACACCTAGACCACACATCACACTTAATCCCGTGCTGGTGCTCGCCTCCAGCCGCCTCACGGTGGCACTTGGGGCCATCAAGGGTCACCACGTACCTGCTTCCCCTCCATCGCTCCCCTCATCTCCTTGAATGTCGAGGTGAACTCCCCAATGAAGTCGTGCTTGCCGTTGGAGTCCCAGTCCCACACTATGCACTGCAGGGGGAAGAATGGCTATTATTAAAACTAAGGACGCCGTTTTCAGGCTCAGGCCATTTCTAAACCTCTCCCTTCCACGCCCCTCCCCTGCCCCTCTCCTACCAGTATTACCCACAATGGCATTTTGCTGATAGTGACTGGGAGAATAGAGAGGGGCCGCGTTCATGACTTCGGGACAAGCTGGCCAGAGAACAGTACATTGGCCCACGGCAGTGCTTGGGGGTTCAGAGCAGGACGGTGCAGAAAGAGCTTGGCAGAGGAGCCCTGGCAGGGGAACACCACGGCAGCGCTGTGGAGGGACGCTGGCTGTCAGGTACGTGGAGTTAGGGTTCAAGTTAACGTGGAGAAGGGAGTTTGTGTCCACAAAGTTGAAGAATTACAGTTAAAATTCAGTTAAAATCATTATTCAACTTACAATCACTTTTCAGTCATTGTATGTTTACTCAATCATTAGATGCTGAAAATAAATTACTTAAATACATGATCTGGGGAAAGCAGGCATGGTGGTTAAGGATGCTGAACTCCCACATGGCCAACTGCGGTTCGAGTCCTGGACCTGGTGGCTTGCTTTCTCACTTTCTGTCTCTCGCATTCTCTGTTGCTCTGTCTGGTCAAATTCTCTGGTCAAATTAAGATAAATAAATCAAATGAAATAAAATAATTCTTAAAAAAATGACCCTTGGGCTTGTAAAGGTTGCCTTTAGCACTGTGACTAGCCATTTCCGGCTTTCCTTCCTCGTCCCCCTGGGCTGGCTGTAGCCGCGTGACTTGCACCGGCGGACGTGACGTAGGTAGACGTCCCTACGTCCGTCGTGGGTGGAAGCTTCAAGAGCTGGAGCGAGCTGTCCAGGTTTATCCCCTCGCCCACCCACCCCGCCCTGGGGATACATCTCTAACAGTCACCACTCTGCCGACCTGAGTCCCCAGCCGAGGTCGCAGGCCACCGGTGGGGACATCAGCCTGCACAGCAAGGACACGGCTGCTGCCTTCAGCCTCCGAGGTTGCTTCCACACAACCTCGCCTGGCGTCATTCAGGCACACGGGTCATGTCAGGGAAAGGAGTGACAGCTCGCTTTGTTTGACTCCCAAGGGGAACACAGAATTTCAGGAGGGGTTACTAGCAAAGAAGGTATTTGCCAGAAACAAAGCAGCATGTGTGCTAAGTGTTTTATGTGATGTGTTCCGGGAGGAACGTCAAGACCACGTGTAGAGGATACCGTGGAGAGGGCCGGGGCGTGTGAAGGGCTTGCTGGACGTGCCGGGCTCTCTTCTGACTCGGAGAAGCTAAGGGCTTTCTTTTTTTTTAAAAGAGGCTTCTCTGAGACCCCACTTTAGTTTGTGATCATCATGAAAAATATGGAGTAACCGTTTCGTTCTCTTTACAGGGCATTTCCTTGGCAAATATCTCTTCTTTAAACATTTATTTACATGTAATCGTCATACACCTTTACAGCGTACAACATGGTTTTCCCAGCATGAATACAGTGCGTATCAGTCAAGACGAAGTCATTACTGTATACATTATCAAATGGACAGCAAATAACTGTCCATTTTGTGTCCATTAAACATGTTTTCCATGCCCTCCTCCCCTATGACCCACCCGACTGCCCACCCCCGCTCTCTCTATCACACCTTCCGCTCTTGGTCTCTGCTCTAGGCCAGGCTCTCGGGATATGCTCAGCAGAGGCTGTCTGTTTTCATAGTCTGGCTCCTCACTCAGCATTAAGTCTTCCACACGGGGCCACTTTGTATCTAATGTCAGGGTCTCATTTTTCTTTTTTTAATGGCTGAGTAGTATTCCATAGAGTACATTTGCAACGTTTTTTCATTCTATCTATTTCTGGACACTTGGGTTGATTCCATGGCCTAGCAATTGTAAATAATGCTGCAATAAACATGGATGTGCAAGCGTTTGCTGACTGAGGTTTCCCTGTCCTTTTGGTCAACACCTACGTGTGGAATTACTGGGTGGTGTGGTAGTTCTAGCTGTAGGTTTCTAAGGGATCTCCGCATTGTTCTCACAGTGGTCGTGCTGTTTACTCTCCCACCAGCACTGTAGAAGAGTTCCTTATTACACAGCCATACCAACACCGACTGCTTTCTTCTGTTATTTTAGCCGTGCTGACTGGGTTAGGTGGTGTCTCATTGTGGTTTTGATCTGCATTTTCCTCATGTAGATGTTGAGCATGCTTTCACGTGCTCTGGACATTCACGTGTCTGTTCAGTTCGTTTCCGCATCTTTTAATAGGATTGGTTATTGTTTTGCAGGTAGCTGTTTGAGGTCCCTGTACGTTCTGGTTATCAGTCCCTTATCCGAGGTATATTTTGCAAATACACTTTCTCACTCTGAGGGTTGTGGAGAAGCTAAGTCTAGCTGCATAGGTTCAAAACAAAGTCACTGCGCAGCTTAGCTAATTCTGGTTGCGACCGGTACTGTCACACAGCTTGCGCAGGCAGGATGAGCACATCTTTCTTTTCCTTTTCTAACTGCTACAGGCTTACGCACTTGCCAGAAAGAGACAGGGGGAGGGAGACAGTGTCCTACAATGAGGTGTGGTCACACTGCAATCCTTTTTCTCCATTTCAGTCCTGCTGGGATTTGGGGCACGCATGCACACTCGTCCAGCCAGTTTCTAGTCACTGGGGCCAGGAGTCAGAGCACAGTCAGACATGTGGAATCAAGTTCCTTTAACCCCTAGGCAATGGGGCCAAGCTGGGAGCCTCTTTTTAATTCAGAGTAGGGTGCAGTGCTACTTCATCCTTTTCAATGAGAAGGGGAACCCATCAAGGATTCAGTCGTTTAGAAGATTGCTCACAACGTGCGTTGCAATCACACACTACAGAATGGTGGGAATTCATGTGCTGTTATAACCAGTGTCTCTCCCTCTGTTTGGCAGCCCTCCCTCTGTCCCCAACTGTCCCAACCTTCAGTACTTATTACCTGGACTAAGAAACACAAGAAAGCTTGCTGGGCCTGGACGCAGAGAGATGAAGAGGGATCATTCTTGGGACCCCATCTTTAAGGCTCCTAACTTTGTCAGGTAGTAAATGGAGCCCATTGGGTGCCCAAGTCTGACAGTCAGATACTTACTCTTGTGACTTTTAGAGGAGAAAACAAAAAAGCAAAAGGGGCAGAAGTAAATAAGGGAGGAGAAATGGAAGCCTTCACTTTTGTCTGTATAATTATTCCCCAAGCACATCGACATTCACATGTTCTCATTCAACTTTCTTACAGTGACCTCTGAATATTCCATTTTTAAAATCTCCACTAAAACCAATCTTTGAGGATGGGAAGCAGCCTTTCTAACAGTCCCCACATTGAGGAAGAGAGTAGAAGTCTACTTCTTTAGGGGAAGGCGCATAGACCACACCACTCCTTTGCCCTCTCTTAGACTTCCCATCATGCCTTGGTTAGACCCGGACCTTCCTTCACCTGCCCAACACCACATTCAAGATGTCTGCAACGTGCTCTCCAGCTGGGGCAGAAAGGGAGTGGCCACTGGACCTCCCTGAGCTGCAGGGTGCGTCAGGCTTGGCGGAAAGCCAGTCGGGCCTCCCAGGAGCAGACACCGCTGTTTCCGAGCTCTGCCTCTTCGACCAGCTGGCATTTTCCATCAAGTCAATTGTAGAATTTTGTTTTGACCTTTCTGAGAAGGGATCCCAAAGGGAGAAAGAGTCGGTGAAGCAGACGAATAGAAACACTACCTCTCCCACACTCCCTGCCACGAAGCTGGCTTATGACGGCTCTGAAGCAGCTGACAGAGGAATGCATCTTGGCGAAAGTAAACAGCTCAGCCATCTTGCGGAGAACTGAGACAGAGGCAGCTCTCGAGTGAATCAATAAGGAGGTCTTGGTATATCTGTGAGAGCTCAGCATCTTAAAACTATCCACAAGCCAGAAAACCTTCTTAAAAATTTATTCATTCATTTCATGAGCAAGACAGAGAGAGAGGCGAGAGGGAGGCAGAGGAGTGACCCACGATGGCCCCATAGCTTCGGGCAGTTGGGGCCATGGCGTGTGGGCTTGTCATACTCAGGAGGTCTGTAGGATGCGGCCCTGCAACCTTTCTGTGTGGCTCGGCCTCGCAGAGTGCAGTGTTCCACAGCGTCAAATCTGGTCCTGGGAGAGCGTGGCTCGTGATGGCTTCCACCTCGTGACCTCCTGCCTTGAGTGGGGAGCTCGGGTGCACGCCACCTGTGGGCAGGTGCTCACCTCACCCTGTTCATGTCCGAACCTTAAAAAATCGAAGCCCAAAAGTTTAGTCTAGCGGACTCCCTCATTTTACAGACAAAGCAAAACCAAACCTTGATGCAGAGAAGTAACTTATGCAAGTTTGTCCGTCCAGCATGGAGGTGTGTGAGGACAATTTCAGCCCGGGTTCCTGCCTCTCTGACTTCATTATGACCACACGAACAGAAAATTGTAACAGCTAAGAAGGGCAGCTCCGTAGCTCAGTGGCTAAGGGAGCTGGATCCCACATGGAGAATGTGGTTAACTCCCAGCCCAACAGCTTGAACGACATGCCAGACACATGTGCGTGCATGCCCGAAGTTCCCACAGGGAGAGATGGAGGAAAAGAGTGCAGTGTGACCAGGCTCTCTGGGCGGTGACCAGTGCAGTGTGACCAGGCTCTCTGGGCGGTGACCAGTGCAGTGTGACCAGGCTCTCTGGGCGGTGACCAGTGCAGTGTGACCAGGCTCTCTGGGCGGTGACCAGTGCAGTGTGACCAGGCTCTCTGGGCGGTGACCAGTGCAGTGTGACCAGGCCCTCTCTGCCGAGCACACACACCCTGTAGCAATAGAACATGATCGCATTTTTTAAAATGTACAGTGCTTACTGTGTGCCAGGCACTGTGTGAGTATTTCACAGACATCAGTTCACTCAGCCACCAGGTCTGGGACTTGAACCATGGTTCAGCACTGGTTTATGTATCGTGATGACCCCTACGAGAGCTCCGTGACATGGAAGGGCCGATTTTACCCACGATGACCTCGAA